CTGACCGTACTAATCACACCACCCTCTCTTAACCCCCCAGTCTATTCCATTCTATTCTATTCTATTCTATTCTATTTTATTCTATTTTATTCTATTCTATTCTATTCTATTCTATATTTCTATTCTATTCAATTCTATTCTGTATTTCTATTCTATTCTGTATTTCTATTCTATTCTGTATTTCTATTCTATTCTATTCTGTTCTGTATTTTTATTCTATTCTGTTCTGTATTTTTATTCTATTCTATTCTATATTTCTACTCTATTCTATTCTATTCTGTATTTCTATTCTATTCTATTCTATTCTATTCTATATTTCTATTCTATTCTGTATTTCTATTCTATTCTGTATTTCTATTCTATTCTGTTCTGTATTTTTATTCTATTCTATTCTATTCTATTCTATATTTCTATTCTATTCTGTATTTCTATTCTATTCTATTCTATTCTATTCTATTCTATTCTCCTCCTGGTCTCGTCTAGGGATATCATCTTGGCTGTTTGCCACTCTTTGGCTGGGGGGTTCTGGGAGTTGAAGTCTTAATACAGCTGACATTGAGAAACCCTGATCTCAGTCTTCTTGAGATCCCTGGAAAAAGCTGCAACAGATTATCTCGTCTCTATTGCCCTAAGCCAGAAGTTCAGAGAGAGAGACGGATGGCCTTCCAAAAATGGCTTCTGCTTCCAACTTTTAAACTTCTTTTTTCTAAAAACAGGGCTCTCCAAACTTGGCGACTTTAAGGTTTCTGGGCTTCAATTCCCAGAATTCCCCAGCCAGCAAGCCTGCCTGGGGAATTCTGGGAGTTGAAGTCCACAAATCTTAAAAGTTGCCAAGTTTGGGAACCCTTGGTCTAAAACAGGGGTCTTCAAACTTGGCCCTTTGATGACTTGTGGACTTCAACTCCCAGAATCCTCAGCCAGAGTGCCTGAGGTAAATCAAACAGTATACAGAACACACAGAGGAAAAAAGGCGGGGAAAAGGGGAAATGCCCCCTTCATACCCACAGCAACCAATCAGAGTGTAGATTGCCTCACGCATGTGTCAGCACCCTCTAATTCAGGGGTCTTCAAACTTGGCCCTTTTATGAGTTGTGGACTTCAACTCCCAGAATTCCTCAGCCAGCCTGCCTGGCTGAGGAATTCTGGGAGTTGAAGTCCACAAGTCATAAAAGGGCCAAGTTTGAAGACCCCTGGTCTAAAAATAATGCCATACTGTTAAGGTTTTCCAAGTCTCAACCCACCAATTTTGTCTCTTGATCGCTTGGCTCCCCAAAAGAAGGCTCCCCAAATTCCGGTCCCCAAATTCCGCTCCCTAAGATGTCACAATGCCATCACAAATGATCCTTCCCTCACAACAACAGCTGCTTCTTCAGGCGCAGGTCCCAGTTTAAAAAGAAAAAAAAAAGGAAAAACACAGCTGGTCTCCATCTGGGGTCTACCTCATAAATGCACATCAGAAGAGATGTTTTAGCATTTAGAATACTTTGATTTTGGGAGCAACCCAGAGGATGGAGTGAGGAGAGTTAGGAAAGCTGCAAATGGGAGGTGTGGTGTCACGCTAAGAAGAACTAAGGAGAAATTTCCTGACAGTGAGAACAATTAATCAGTGGAACTACCTGCCTCCTGAGGGTATGAATGCTCCAACACTGGATGACCATTTGTCTGAAATGGTGTAGGGTTTGCTGCCTGGGTGGGGGGTTGGAATAGAAGACCTCCAAGGTCCCTTCCAACTCTGTTATTGTATTCTATTCTATTCTGTTTTGTTCTGTTCTGTTATGTTCTATATTTATTCTATATTCCATTCCATTCTATTCTATTCTATATTTATTCCATATTCTATTCCATATTCTATTCCATTCTATTCTATTCTATTCTATTCTATTCTATTCTATTCTATTCTATTCTATTCTATTCTATATTTATTCCATATTCTCTTCTCTTCCCTTCCCTTCCCTTCCCTTCCATTCTATTCTATTCTATTCTATTCTATTCTATTCTATTCTATTCTATTCTATTCTATTCTATTCTATTCTATATTTATTCCATATTCTCTTCTCGTCTCTTCCCTTCTCTTCCCTTCCCTTCCCTTCCATTCCATTCCCTTCTATTCTATTCTATTCTATTCTATTCTATTCTATTCTATTCTATTCTATTCTATTCTATTCCATATTTATTCCATCTTCTCTTCTCTTCTCTTCTCTTCTCTTCTCTTCTCTTCTCTTCTCTTCTCTTCTCTTCTCTTCTCTTCTCTTCCCTTCCCTTCCCTTCCCTTCCCTTCCCTTCCATTCCATTCCATTCCATTCTATTCTATTCTATATTTATTCCATATTCTATTCCAGTGATGGCGAACCTTTTAGAGACTGAGTGCCCAAACTGTAACCCAAAACCCACTTATGTATGGTCGGGTGCCGGGTGGGCGTGGCCCATTGGTTGGGTGTGGCCCATTGGGTGAGTGTGGCCCATTGGGTGGGTGTGGCTGTGGTGGTAAAGGCAGACTGGGTGGGACTAAAAAGTTCAATCAATCAATTCCAACTTTGCGAGATCTTTTTTTTTTCCGGCAAGAAGTTGAAATTGATTGATTGATTGAACCTTTTTTTTTTTGTACATGGGCATGGAGGTCTAAAAAAGGTTTTATAAAACCCAGCTGAAGGCCTAGGACTGGGACAATGGCGCGCGTGCCCACAGAGAGGGCTCTGCGTGCCATCTGTGGCACGCATGCCATAGGTTCGCCACCACTGTTCTATTCTATTCTATTCTATTCTATTCTCTATTCTATTTTATTCTATTTTTTTCTATTTTTTCTGTTTTTATTTCTATTTCTGTTCTCAATCTCAGCAACTTTAAGACGTGTGGACTTCAATTCCCAGAATTCTTTAGCTAGCACAGCTGGTTGGGGAATTCTGGGAATTGAAGTCCATACATCTTAAAGTTTCCACAGTTGAGATACACTGTCCTAGAGGAATAAAAGAGATTAAACAGGGGGGAAGCTTTAAGGCTTGGAAAAAAAGCACACAGGGAGATCATGTCGGCTGCAAATGTGTTTTGTGAGCAATGTCGGAATCACAGATGGGCGATCACATCCTGATAGGCCCGCTGGCCTATTGCCGATGGGCTGGCGATCTTCTGAGACACATCCACAGGTAGTCCTCGACCTACGACCACAATTGGGACCAGCAAGATGGGTGGCAAAAAAATTGAACAAATAAAAGAATAAAATCAATTTCCATTGCTAAGCAAGGCAATTGTTAAACGAGTCAGGCCTGATTTTGCAACCTTTTGGGCCATGGTTGTTAAATGAGTCACACAATTGTTAAGTGAGTCACACAGTCATTAAGTGCATCCAACTGTCCCCATTGACTTTGCTTGGGGGAAAGTTGAAAATGGCGATGGTATGACCATCGTAAAATACATACCAGATGCCAAGTGCTTGAAGTTTGATCACGTGATGATTGTAAGCATGAGGACCGGTCCTCAATCAGTTTTTTCAGGGCTGTTGTAACTTCAAATGGTCGCTAAGCGGATGGTTGTAAGTCAAGGACTACCTGTATACCTCTGCCGGCTGATCCTGAAAGCTTTAGTCATCTCAGTACGATAAATCTACAATCTTCAGAACTTTAAGATCGATTGGAGGGGGGTTTTACAAAATAGCAATAGCACTGAGACTTATATAGCGCTTCACAGTGCTTTACAGCCCTCCCTAAGCGGTTTACAGAGTCAGCATATTTGCCCCCAACAATCTGGATCCTCATTTTATTGACCTTGGAAGGATGGAAGGCTGAGTTAACCTTGAGCCGATCAGGAGTGAACTCCTGGCAGTCGGCAGAGTCAGCCTGCAATGTTGCATTCTGATCACTGGGCCACCAGGGCTCTTGAGAGAGAGAGAGAGAGAGAGAGACAGACAGACAGACAGAGACAGATAGATGGAAATTGTCGATAGACAGAACATAAATGATGAGATAGATAGATAGACAGACAGAGACACAGACAGACAGATAGAAATAAATGATAGATAGATAGATAGACAGACAGACAGACAGACAGACAGACAGACAGACAGACAGACAGACAGAGACAGATAGATGGAAATTGTCGATAGACAGAACATAAATGATGAGATAGATAGATAGACAAACAGACAGACAGACAGATAGACAGACAGAGACACAGACAGACAGATAGAAATAAATGATAGATAGATAGATAGATAGATAGATAGATAGACAGACAGACAGACAGACAGACAGACAGACAGACAGACAGAGACAGATAGATGGAAATTGTCGATAGATAGAACATAAATGATGAGATAGATAGATAGATAGACAGACAGACAGATAGACAGATAGACAGACAGAGACACAGACAGACAGATAGAAATAAATGATAGATAGACAGACAGACAGACAGACAGACAGACAGATAGACAGACAGAGACACAGACAGACAGATAGAAATAAATGATAGATAGATAGATAGATAGAAATGATAGATAGAAATAAATGATAGACAGACAGACAGACAGACAGACAGACAGATAGATAGATAGATAGATAGAAATGATAGATAGATAGAAATAAAAGATAGATAGACAGACAGACAGACAGACAGACTAGATAGATAGATATAGATAGATAGATAGATAGATAGATAGATAGATAGATAGATAGATAGATAGATAGACAGATAGAAATAAATGACAGACAGACAGACAGACAATAGATGGCAATAGCAACAGCACTTAGACTTGTATACTGCTTCCTAGTCCTTTACAGCCTTCTCTAATCGGTCTACAGAGTCAGAATTTTGCCCCCAACAATCTGGGTCCTCATTTTCCCGACCTCGGAAGGACAGAAGGCTGAGTCAACCTCGAACCGGTCAGGATCGAACTCCTGGCAGGGAGCAGAGTTTGCCCACAGTGCTGCATTCTAACCACAGCGCCACCACGTCATCTGTCTAAAATCTCATCGAATCTCATTTATGTCCTATTTTTTCCTGCGCAGGAGCAGCCAAAGTTTCATGCACATGAAGTTCGCCCGGACGAAGGAGAACAGGTACATCTTGGGCCAAAACAGCGCCCCCTTCGAGAGCATCCCAGAGGTCATCCATCACTACGCCACTCAAGAGCTGCCCATCAAAGGGGCCGAGCATCTTTCCTTGCTGCATCCCGTGGCAGTTCAGACTGCGTGAGACAAACTGGGGGGGAAGCCACGGGCTCGCTCTGGATTCAGACCATCGGCTCTGATCCTCACCTGGGCTGGAGAAGGGGGGGGGTCTCACCAGGGACTTACAGACAATGTGCCCCCTCTTTTGATGGGGGGGTGTTTCTCCCTGTGGGGAGAGAGGCTTCCCTTCCTCTTCCTCACCAGTTTTCGAGCAATAATGGTGCCTCTTTGCTTCTAAACGACAGACAGTCCTCAACTTACAACAGTTCATTTAATGACCATTCAGAGTTACAACGTCAGTGAAAAAAAGCGACTTATGACCGATTTTCACACGGTCACATGATTCAAAATTCAGATGCTTGGCAGCTGACTCCTACTTACGACGGTTTGCAGTGTCCCGGGGTCACGTGATCCCCTTTTGCGACCTTCCATGGGGGAAGCCAGCTTCACTTTACATCCGTGTGACTAACTTAACGACGGCAGCGATTCGCTTAACAACTGTGGCAAGAAAGGTCGCAAAACGGGGGCAAAACTCTCGCTTAACAAATGTCTCGTTTAACGACGTACATTTTGGGCTCCGTGGTGGTCGCACGTCGAGGGCTTCCTGTGTCACACTGCCGTGACTACAGTAGTCCTCCACTTACAACTGTTTGTTTAGTGACCGTTCAAAGTTGCTGCACTGGTAAAAACGACGTACCGCTTTCCTCGCCCTTACGACGGTCCCAGAGTCACCGAGGTCAAGTGATCAAAATGTGATCGGTCTCTGGTGTGTATTTTACGATGGTTGCAGTGTCCCGGGATCACACTATCGCTGTTTGCGAACCTCCTAGCCAGCTTCGGATAAGCCAAATCGGCGGGAGTAGATGGAACCGCTTAGCAACCGTAGGATTCGCTTAACTGTGCTGATTCGCTTTACAACGGTGGTGCAAAACTGTTGTAAAATCGTACGTGACTTGCTTAACGACTGCCTCGCTTAGCAATGGAAATTCTGGTCATAAGTTGAGGATGGCCTGTAATTCCCTCCCTCTTCCTGTTGCTTGCGAGAAACCTGGAAAGGCTACTCGTTTTTTGTCAGTCTTGGCCACTTGAAAACAGGTGGACTTCAACTCCCAGAATTCCCCAGTCCACACATCTGGTTGGAATGATATATAGCAAGGGCCTTCAAACTTGGTAACTTTAAGACTTATGGACTTCAACACCCAGAATTCCTCAGCCAGCATGGGGGAACTATGGCCCTTTCACAACTTGCAGACTTCAACTCCCAGAATTCCTCAGCCAGCATGGGGGAACTATGGCCCTTTCATAACTTGCAGACTTCAACTCCCAGAATTCCTCAGCCAGCATGGGGGAACTATGGCCTCTTCATGACTTGTGGACTTCAACTCCCACAATTCCTCAGCCAGCGTGCCTGGCTGAGGAATTCTGGGAGTTGAAGTCCACAAGTCATAAAAGGGCCACGTTTGAAGACCCCTGTGGTTGAACATCCATCTAAAACTGGTACGCCGTCAAAATCCCCCTTCCCATCAAATTGCTTGTCTGAATTCTCCTGCAAGCTAAAAACCAGATTCCCCTGAACAGATAGTCCTCGGTTTACGACCTTTCATTTAGTGACTGTTCAAAGTTACAGCGGCAGTGAAAAAAGTCACCTAGGGCTGTTTTTCACCCTTGCGAGCCTTGCGACATCCCCGGGATCACACGATCAAAGTTCGGACACTTGGCAACTGACTCATATTTATGATGGGGGCAGCGTCCCGGGGCTGATGGGATCCCCTTGGCCGACCTTGTGACAAGCAAAGTCAACGGGGGAAGGCAGATTCACTTTACAACCATGTTACCAGCTGAGCAGCCGCAGTGATTCACTTAACAGCGGTGGCCAGAAAGGTCGTAAAATGGGGCAAAACTCAGAACGGTCTCGCTTAGCGACAGAAATTTTGGGCTCCGTTGTGGTCGTACGTTGAGGACTACGTGTGCTTTCTTTTCCCACTTTGCCTCATTTAGTACATGCTGAGCAATTTGAGGAGGGTCTGGCTATTCAAGGGTGAGAAGCTGGGAATCTTCCTCTTCTTGATCGGCGACGTAAGTCTGAGGACCTATGATGCGGGGGAAAAATAGGACAAAACGTTTAGCTACTGTATATTTGCAATATCTACACTGGGGCTGAAATCGGTTGAAGTAGCCCATTTACTCATTTCCTTCATCCCTTTTTCATGAGCTCCATTGGTCCAGGCTTTACGGGAAGAGAAACTGGACCTCGAGGAGAAACGAGGAACAATCCACGTTTCTCTAATTCTCCAGAAATGAAACAATAAAGAATGAGGTTCTCCATAGGGTCATATGATGGTGGTCCCATGTCATCTCTTTGTCTTCTTCCATGAAGAAGGAAGCAAGGGAGGGAGGGAGGAAAGAAGGAGAAAAAAAGAGAAAAAGGAAAGAAAGAAAGAAAGAAAGAAAGAAAGAAAGAAAGAAAGAAAGAAAGAAAGAAAGAAAGAAAGAAAGGAGGGAGGGAGGGAGCAAAGAAAGAAAGAAAAAGAAAGAAAGAAAGAAAGAAAGAAAAAAAGAAAAGGAGGGAGGGAGGCTAGAAGGAAGAAAGGAAAGAAGGAAGGAAGGAAGGAAGGAAGGAGAAAGGAAGAAAAAGGGAGGAAGGAAGGAAGGAAAAAAAGAAAGAAAAGGAGAGGGAGGGAGGGATGGAGGAAGGAAAGAAAGAGAAAGGAGGGAGGGAGGAAAGAAAGAAAGAAAAACGAAAGGAAAAGAAAAGAGGGAGGGAGGCTAGAAGGAAGGAAGGAGAAAGAAAAATGAAAGAAAGGAGGTAGGGAGGAAGAAGGAAAAAGAAGAAAAAGAAAGAAAAGGAGAGGGAGGGATTGAGGAAGGAAAGAAAGAAAGGGAGGGAGGCTAGAAGGAAGGAAGGAAAGAAGGAAGGAGAAAGAAAGAAAAAAAAAGAAAGGGAGGAAGGAAGGAAGGAAGGAAAGAAAGAAAAAAGAAAAAAAAGAAAAGGAGAGGGAGGGATGGAGGAAGGAAGGAAGGAAGGAACATGCTTTGGACCTGGTGCCCTTCTTCTTCTTCCACTTCTCGGTCTCTGTGTCTTGTATTTTCTTGTGAGTGGACCATCCCCTCTGTACATCCGGTGTTCTGTGGCAATATTTCTCCTGCCTTCTGTTTCTTTCACCGAGATCACCAGATCACCGTTCCTTTCCATTAAACTCTTGCGGTTCTCCTGGCTCTCTTCTCCTCGGTGTGGGTGTCTTTCATTTTCCTTTCGATGGAAGAGAATATTTTGAAGCTCAGGGCTGAACTGGGGAGACCTCGGAGCTCACTGAGCTTGGTGGTTTCCTTGCAGACGTTTCATGACCCAACTAGGTAACATCATCAGTGTTAGAAGGGAGTCAGTGGGGTTTGTGGAGAGGAGGAGGAGGAGGAGGAGGAGGAGGAGGAGGAGGAGAAAGACTGTCATCAGTGCNGAGGAGGAGGAGGAGGAGGAGGAGGAGGACAAAGACTGTGGGGTGCTTGGTGCTCTCTGAGCTGGGTGGTTTCCTTGCAGATGTTTCTTGACCCAAGTAGCTAACATCATCAGCACTAGTGAGTGTGGGGTTCTTGCAGACGTTTCTTGACCCATGTAGCTAACATCATCAGCACTAGTGAGTATGGGGTTTGCCGCATATTTCCTCTCAGTTACCGTAAAAAAACTAAGAAGGAAACAAACAGACAAGAACACATCCTGTCCAGCAACCAATATCCAGATAAGCAGGGATTCACACCAGACAAACAATCAAGCAGAAAGCAACACCCTAATTAAGATACTACCAAAGAGAAGACCACACCCCCACCGATACAGGTACTCCTCGGCTTACAACAGTTCGTTTAGTGACCGCTCAAAGTTACAACGGCATTGAAAAAAAGTGGCTGAAGAACCATTTTTCACACTTAACGACCGTTGCAGCATCCCCGTGGTCACGTCATCAAAATTCAGAGGCTTGGCAATTGACTCGTATTTATGACGGTTGCAGTGTCCCGAGGTCACGTGATCGATCCCCTTTGGGGACCTTCTGACCGGCAAAGTTTTAGGGGGGGGGAGAGGCCAGATTCACTTAACAACCGGGGGACCAACTTAACAACTGCAGTGATCCAACTTAACAATGGTGGCCAGAAAGGTCGTAAAATGGGACAAAAACTCACCTAACCAATTTTTTTTTTAAGTTGGAAGGGACCTTGGAGGTCATCTAGTTCAACCCCCTGCTTAGGCAGGAAACCCTACCATTTCAGACAAATGGCTGTCTAGTCTCTTCTTAAAAACTTCCAGTGTTGGAGAAGGGAGGGAGGGAAGGAGGGAGGAAGGAAAAAAAAGAATAACAGAATAACAGACTCGGAAGGGACCTTGGAGGTCATCTAGTCCAACCCCATGCTCAGGCAGGAAACCCTATACCATTTCAGACAAAGGGCTGTCCAGTCTCTTCTTCAAAACCTCCAGTGTTGGAGCATTCACTGCTTCTGGAGGCAGGTAGTTCCACTGGTTAATTGTTCCAACTGTCAGGAAATTTCTCCTTAGTTCTAGGTTGCTTCTCTCCTTGGTCAGTTTCCATCCATCGCTGCTTGTCCTGCCTTCCGGCGCTTTGGAAAATAGCTTGACTCCCTCTTCTTTGGGGCAGCCCCTTAGATCAGTGATGGCGAACCTTTTAGAGACCGAGTGTCCAAACTGCAACCCAAAACCCACTTATTTATTGCCGGGTGCCAGGTGGGCGTGGCCCACTGGGTGGGCGTGGCTGTGGTGGTCATGGCAGATTGGGTGGGTTTGGCCAAGGTGGGCTTGATCGCCTCATGGGGAGGGACGCCTGTGGGGGCCGGGCAGGGTTGGGGGAGATCCAGGGGGTCTCTGGCAGGTGGGGCGGTGGGCAGGAAGCTCATCCTGCGGGGTGAGGCGAGGCAAGGCGAGGCAGGGCAGGGGTGCCATTGTCACAGGGAAAGGTGAGGCAGGGGCCGGGGCTACTGCTGTCTGACACCATCGGCCCCCGCACACAGAGGCCAGCGAGCGCA